AGTCGCAAAACTGCTCTCACACACACTCACATGTACACACACATTCACATACATTCACTTGCACACTCATACACACACATATTCATTCACTCACATTCACACATTCATTCACATTCACACACCCAAATTCACACAATTCACTTTCACACACATTTGTTCTCACATTCACTCATATTCATTCACACACATTCGCATTTACACCGACATTCACACACACACATTCGCACACACACATTCACATTTACACCCACATTCACACATATTGACTCACATTCACATATTCACCCTCACACATTCAAACACACACACACACACACACACACACACAGCCTCCCACCTCTAAAATGTCTCTCCACACCTCCCGCCCCTTCAGCTTCTCCCTCATCCCAACTCTTCCTTCATTTTAGATCCTTCTTCATTCCCAACTCCTCCCTCTTCCTGGCTTCTCTCTCATCCCAGCTCCTCTTTTTCCCCAGCTCCTCCCTCATCCCAGTTCCTCCTTTTTCCCAGCTCCTCCCTCATTCTAGCCACTCCCTCATCCCCAGCTCCTCCCTCAGGTCCTCACTCACCCCCAGATCCTCTCCAATCCCCAGCTTCTCCCTCATCCCAGCATCTCCCTCATTTCCAACTCCTTCCTATTCCCAGATCCTCCCATATCCCAGCTGCTCCCTCATTTCAGCTCCTCCCCAATTCCCAGCTTCTCCCTCACTGCAGTTCCTCCTCATCCCCAGCTTCTCCCTCCCAGCTCCGGCCATCCTCAGCTCCCCCTCACCCTCAGCTCCTCCCTCATCTCAGCTCCTCCCTCGCCCTCAGCTCCTCCCTCATCCCAGCTTCTCCCTCATCCCCAGCTCTTCACCCCCTCCCAGCAGCCACACTGCACACCAGAGCCAGAGTGATTTTTAACTTTCACTTCTGAATAATTTTAGATTTACAGAGTAGTGCAAAGGTAGCGCGTAGAGTTCGGATGCCTCCTCCGCCCCCGTCAGTGTTTCATCTTGTCACCTTCGTCACAGCCTGGCACGTGGCTCTTCCCTGAATTCCAGCCTTCCTTCGGGCTCCTGCTTTCCCAGTGCCCTTTGTCTGGTCCGGGACTCTGCACCATCTCCTGAGGCCCCGCTGGTCTAGGATGGCCTTGACAGCTTTGGGGGGCGCTGCTTGACATCCTGCAGAGTGTCCCAGTCGGGGCTGGTCTGGGGGTTGTCTCAGGGCCAGACCGGTGCCCTCCTCATCGCCTCCCATCAGGGGCAAAAGCCCCAGCCCGCAGTCATGTGGCTGCTCTCCCCGGTGCCCTGTGTATGGGGAGAGTCAGTGAAGCCCCCCTCACATGGGTTCAGCTTCTCCTCCGGGGACATCCAGCATGTTTCTTCGGATTCCTCTGTGAGGAAGATTGGAAAAGACATTCTTCCAAAACACAGATGGTCTCTGGTGCCCCCACACCCCTCTTCCTCTGTGGCCCTCAGCCGAGGGATCATTTCAAGGGACCCTCAGCCCCATTCCGTCCCAGCCCCTCCTGTGGGGCCTTGCAGACACGGGCTCCCCTGAGACAGGCAAGGCCTGGGCAGGTGCAGGAGGAGGGCCTGGAGCTAGTGAGTGGGGCTTGCTGGACGGCTGGTGGTCAGCGGGTGGCAGGCTCAGCTTGCCTCTGGCAGGAGGGCCCACGCCCTGTGTGCCAGGCTGCTGGGCCTCCCCAGATGGACTAGCTGCCCGAACTCCTCGGCTATGATGAGCTTTCATGGTCTCTGTCTCCCTCGGTGTCAACACATGACACTGAGGTTAAAAATGTGCCAGGTGGATGAGTGACAGGCCCTTCACAGAAGGGGGCCACAGAAGCGACCTGCACGTCTAAAGGCACGTGAGAGCAGCCCAGTCCCCACGCAGTGAAGGGGTCCCATCTGCCCACGAAGAGGACAGAGTGCAGCAAGCCAGCTACCCCCTGAGTGCCCACTGCCTGCCCATGCCCTGCTGGGGGAAAAGGCAGCTGGGGGTCGCCCGGCAGGGCTGACTGCATGGGGCACACCCAGCTGGGCTTGCAGCCCCTGGGGAGGGCTGGAGCCCCTTCAGGAGAAAGCGCAGCCACAGGATGGGATGCTGTGTGGACTCAGGTCCAGGACTCCGCCACACCCCGAGTCTCTCTGGCCCCCAGTCTTACCCCATCCCACCCTGCACCCGAGTTGCACGCCCTGGGCTGCACTTGGCATCATCCAATCTGAGCTGCAGGGGACTTTGACAGGGGAGATGGCTGCGGTCTGGCAGGGGCCACACCAGGGGAAAGAAAGGCAGTGATAGGCACAAGCAGTGCCCCTGACAGAGGGGTGGCCTGGGAGAGGGGCTGTCCAGGGGGTTGCTGAAGGTATGGCAGGAAGATAGAGAGGCAGGATGGGGAGCGCCTTGCCCGAAGCTGAGTACAGGTGGTGGCTGTCCAGCAGGAGGAGGGAGGGGTCTCCATGATACCGAGCAGAAGAGGAAGGTGCTGGACACTGCCCCCACCCAGGAAATGGCCTGGCACCCCTCCTAAACAAGCCAGTCTCTCTCCTTGCCAGAGAGCAGGAGCTGGGGACACGATGAGGAGGCTGCTGGGTCCCCAGAAAGGGCTGGGGGAGTCATCGTTCTTGGCAGCCTGGTAAGGGGTGGGAAAGGAGAGGGCCACCCTGAGACCCAGGCATACAGGACAGCCCACTGTGCCCGGGGTCGCCAGGGGCACCTCACCCCCGGGACCCCCTGCAGCCACCAGGGTGAAGTGGCCTCAGGGCAGTGTGAGAATTCCACACCACCCCCCACCTGCCCGGCTGTGGACTGCAGCCTCCCTCCTGGCTATCCCAGCAGCATCTGCAGCTGGCCCTATGCGGTGAGTCCACCTTAAGTGGGTTTGATCAGCCCGTGCACTGGTGAGCGCATGCTAATATTGGCTCCAATAAAGAGCAAATCAGGGCCCTAGTCGATGCGTCTTATCACACAGTCAGAACTGATGGCTGCAGAAGTCATAAAGATCCCATTTAATCTCACGCCTATCTATCACGCGGCCGCCTTCATCCTCTTTGTGCCGGGGTAATATGTGCTCATTACGAAAGCAAAACAGATCTGGCATGAATAAACGCAGGATGAAGTGCTCACTCGGAAAGTGACAGCATGATCAGTGGCGGCAGTAATCGCAGAGAATCGCGGGCTAAATTATTCCATAACTGTGATTTGAGGGGACAGCCCAGAGCACCCCACAGCTGCCTGCAGTGCAGCGACGTGTCCTGATAAAACATCCTTCCCAATTTACAGGGCCGCGCTTGACTAATCTGCCTCGGCGCGCACACTGTCTAATCATGCCATCAGCACCGCGAGAAGGGGCTCAATTGGGACTCAAATGAAAGGAGATTGGAAAACTACCCTCAATTGAAATTACATTTGTAAATGAGGCAGAGTTTTCTGTTCAGAGTGTGAACGTTACGGTAAATCTGCTTGAGAAAGTCGAAGAGGTGGCGGCGGCGGCGGGCGGGCCGGGGATGCCGCAGGGGCGGCTGGGACTGTGCCCCTGCTGGGACTGGGGCATGGGGCCGGCAGGGGTCCACATTCTGGAGATGCCTGGCACCATGCTGGCCCCTGGGGACAGCCCCTGGAGAGGAGACGGGCTGTGGTGGAAGCCCGGAGAGTTGGGCCTAGTTTGCCAGACATAAGACTTCACTTCCCACCCTGTAAAATGGGGCGCAGGGCAGCCTCCTTGAGGGAGGGGGGTAAATCAGACCAAGGGATGAGTCAGAGCTTAGCTGGCCTCCTCTCTGCCTTCCAAGGGTGCCCCCGCCCCTCTCTCCCACACTGCACACTGTTCCCAGCCCCTCCCTCCCTCCAGCCCTCTGTGCGTCTGGTAGTATTCCGGGCTCCTCTGAGGCAACTGAGTGGGTACGGTGGGGGCAGGGGCACTTCCCGCACCAGGGGCGTTGGGTCTGAGGCTGTCCTCGTGGTAGGGGAGGGCTGGACCCAGATCACCTGCCTGACCATGCGCCCAGGATATTGGCCAGGCACACTCACTGGGACACTGCAGGAGGGGAGCACACAGGGAGAGTAGAGGGGGCCATGTGCTGGATGGATGGACTTGCCCCCCAGGACAGTGGCGAACCCAGGGGAAGGTGGCCTTGGGCCCTGGAGGTCTTCTCCCAGACAGAGGCAGGGCCTGTGCTCAGTGCTCAGGGATGGCCATGGGGACCCCACCAGCAGACGGAGCGTGGACACCAGCAGCTCCCGTGGCCACAGGGTGTGGGGTGTTGTGGGGGCTCCTGCCTGCTGGCCTCACCTCGTGGACTGCTGGCCAGAGTGGCCCCAGCAGCAGCGGTGAGGTGCCCAGCACCTCCTCACAGGCCTTTATGTAAATCAAGGCCTAATTAGGCCATCCGGCATTTGTGTAGAATATCATTTTTTTAATTACCAGCCCTGGGCAGGTTCCCCGGCTGCCTGTTGTGGGCCAATTACCATAAATCCCCCGGTAACAATTAACAATGTTGGAGCGAGCTGCATGTATTTCCAATGTTATAATTATGCGCGGCGCTCTTGTTAATTGGCCTATCTGACTCTGTACTTTTTATGC